TACGCTTAGGGGAAAGCGTGCGTATGCATTGTGATACTCTCTAAAATGGCGGAAGACGGTAACTCTGGGGAGAAGAATTGTTGAATAAATTATGTTGTTTTTGTTTTCCACAAAATTTACATCACAAATAATACTGATGAAAAAGAAGGGGTTGAATGTTAACCAGTTTCGTTTTCATATAACTATAAACTACGATAAAAGTTCATCAGCACGCATTGATTAATCCCCAAAAATAAAAATATTGCGACCAAATCATGTGCTGGTGTGACCAACTGAGAAAGCTAGTCGCAAAAGAGCGACCAGTGGGAAGAACGAGTCGAGCCCTGACGCATAAAGCACAGATTTCATTAACAGTCTCGCGTGCGCACAGCAGCAGAGTGGTTTAGTTCGAGATGCAATCGATTAAAGCTTCAATGGTCGATTAAGCAGTTTAATTTTGGGCTGCGTGCGGCTCACGCGCAAAACACGTGCGGGCGGCTGTGAGTGACGGTATATAAATGCGTCATCATTCACTCATTATGTACAAATTAAGCTTTTAATGTGATTTAAACTTTAAAAGTACATTAAAATAGAAACAACACACAGTTCTTCAACATGGAATGCAACAGAAATGTAGTAACAGTAATTTCCCCAGATAATAGTTTCATATTTGAAACAATTAGGTGAAGGTTGCAGGGCTGCGGGACACTGCGGGGGAAGGATTCATTCCTACAACTTGTTAATTCGTTCCTACGACTTATTAATTTGTGGCCACTCTCCATGTTTCATTAATTTTGTTCCTTAACCCATGATTTAACTTCACTGTAATTTTAAGCAAATGTAACTTCTGTCAGGAACAATCATTTTAAGAAAGGCACTTCACATAGGATTGAAACTTTGCATGTTTTGGTCACACAGAGAGCAGACAGAAAGCAGCACATACTAGTTAGCCGGCATCATGTCATCTAGGAAATGTATCGAAATGAAATCATAACAACAAATAAAAACTGTCAGCATTGAGCTTGAAAAGCCTTTCTGAATGCGGTCAAATCTCACAGATTAGCAGAGAACACTGACGCGCCCGTAACGAAAGCAGAGACTTACGCAAAGCACATTTTTGGGCATAAAGTCTCTTGAAACGAGAACAGATATGAAGCCATATGTCTGTCATCTTCTCAAAACAATACAAATCCTCCCAAGTGTCATTATAACCCAGAGCGAGCTATATTTGAATACAGTATTTGTCCGTGACTGAACATGTGAACAGGTCTTTCTAGGGGCCGCTGTTGGTCAGGCTGGTTTTAACCTGTCGCAGGAGCATAGAGGCCATCACTGTTTTCTCTGTGTTGATGGTGATCCCAGCGTCAGGATCCTTCAGGGCCACCGACACCAGGACCAGACATCCAGAACTCACCGTCTTACCTGCAAACCTGGAAATACACACACAAAAATGGATTGGTTGGTTGGCTTTTTGACACCATGTCAGCTTCCTTGGCTATTTTCATGGCGACTAATAAGTTTAAATAGTATAAAAGAGCAATTTTAAAACATACAGGTTTTAAAGTTGGCTTCAGATAGAAAACCTAAAATGGATTCAGGATTGACTTAAAATATCTGTGAAAGTTTCTTCAACAGAGAGAAATATAAAACATTCAAACAATACAATTATTTCGAAATGGACACAATTTACTTAACCAATACCTTTAATCTTATTGTGCACAATTTATTAGTTTATATTCTCCCAAAAATGGCTCTTCAAAAGACAAAAAAGACGTAACCAACGAACTTGAAATTACGTACATGAAATGAACTGTGAATGAGATTATTATAAACTTAATTAGAGAATAAATTAAAGGTGCCTGCCACAATGAATATATTTGCAGTGTTCGCAGAGGATTTAATGACTAATGGTCTGAAAAGAAGGTGATAATGATAATAGCCAAACAACAGTTAGTGGTAATATATTAAAGATTTACAAAATATCCTAGTATTTATCATTTCTCAATCAATGTCAAATAAAACAAATTGATGAGACATTGATGAAAACAAACATTGATGAGACTCAGATTTTTGAAAATAAATACATATATAATACAACATACACACACACACACACACACATAAGAGAGAGCGAGAGAGAGAGACACACACACATACACATATAGAGACAGAGAGAGACACACACACACATATAGAGAGAGAGAGACACACACACATACACATATAGAGAGAGAGAGACACACACACATACACATATAGAGACAGAGAGAGACACACACACACATATAGAGAGAGAGAGACACACACACATACACATATAGAGAGAGAGAGACACACACACATACACATATAGAGACAGAGAGACACACACACACAGAGAGAGAGAGAGAGAGAGAGAGAGAGAGAGAGAGAGAGAGAGAGAGAGAGAGAGAGAGAGAGAGAGAGAGAGAGAGAGAGAGAGAGAGAGAGAGAGAGAGAGAGAGAGAGAGAGAGAGAGAGAGAGAGAGAGAGAGAGAGAGAGAGAGAGAGAGAGAGAGAGAGAGAGAGAGAGAGAGAGAGAGAGAGAGAGAGAGAGAGAGAGAGAGAGAGAGAGAGAGAGAGAGAGAGAGAGAGAGAGAGAGAGAGAGAGAGAGAGAGAGAGAGAGACACACCCACATACACATATAGAGACAGAGAGCCACACACACACACATAAGAGAGAGCGAGAGAGACACACACATACAGAGAGAGACAGAGAGAGACACACACACACACACACATATATATAGAGAGAGAGAGAGACACACACACATACAGAGAGAGACAGAGAGACACACACACACATACATACATACATTTATATTACCTAAAATGTGTACTGTAATGGATTACATTACTAACTACAATTTTTGTAATGTAATTTGGAATCAGTAATGGATTACAATTTTCAAGTAATCTGCCCAGCTCTGCATCTTAGTGTATAGTACACCTGGCATGTACCATTGTAATACTATGGTTTGGGCTATATGAATATGGTAATCATTCAGTACCAGGGGGGAATTTATATAGATATATGTATATATATATAGAGAGAGAGAGAGAGAGAGACACACAAAATGACAGATTACAAAACGCAATAGTAAATAGTTTCTTGTAATTCAGTTCTATTGAAGCAGATGTTTTTAGTAGAGAATGTTGGATTCCTGTTTTTATTGAACATTTGCACTGTCTGCAGTCGTTATGGTTTCTTCTTATCTTGCTTTACAGTTGGAGCTCATGCACGCTGATATTACTCTCTAAACACCCCTTCACACTGCCTGACAAACGTGTATATCGTGGTGGTACAGTGATGCTATAAGGTCACCCTTAAGTCTATAGACCAATGTGGAGTAGACGTCACTTGCAGCTGCGTGCGCATTGTGGTGACAGAAAAACACTGGGAACAAATGGAGGGAAACGGGTAAAAAGCAGGGAATAAGAGAAAAAATGTATTGTTGTTCCTTTGGATGTCAGAATCGGGATGCAAATCATTTTTAAAGCATACTGTCGTCAAAGACGCCAATTGAAGCAAAACGCAAACGTTTAAATGGACAGACTATGGATGAAACCTGCTATTATTACCCTACTTTTAAAGCATAAATTAGATTTAAACAATAGGTCTTATAATATTCCCATAGGGGACATATTGTATTAGCCCTACAGTTAAAGCATGAAATACTATTAAACATATAACATTTTACATAACATTTACCTATTTTATCTCACAATTCTGACTTTTTTTTCTCGCAAATGCAAGTTTATATCTCCTAGTTCAGACTATATAACTCGATTTAACTCAGACAATTTTAAACGAGTTTAAAAAAAAGTCAGAAGTGTGGGATTATAAACTCATGATTCTGTGCCGAGGGGAAAAGAGAGAATGACGAGTTGATTTTTCTTATCAGAATTGTGAAATATAAGCTCGGAATTACGAGAAAAAAGTCAGAGTTTTGAAATATAAACTCAAAATTAATTTTTTAAATTCTTTTATTCCATGGCTTCCATAGACTGCTACTTAAAAACGGTAATTTTCTGCCCCAGAGAGGCTCCGCCCACAAAAACATCATCACTGTTTGCTGAAAACGCTGAAATTGTCCGTTGAGTTCCAGTTTAATTTCAAGCCTGTTAGATTAGCCAAGTTAGGGCTGTTAAACAATCATTATACTGGAAGTTACATTATTTGAGCTATTTCTAGTATTATTTTGGAATATATGCTTATTTTGAACCCTCTGGTGCTCTTCGGTCATTTTTGACCAAATCATTTACATTTTTGGTTTTTGGTTTCGTTTTACTTCATTGGAATGGTATGAAACTTGGTAAAGGTTGTGGCACTTGTTATGTGAAAAAAATAAATAATGGACATGATTTGAAAAGGTTAAATGGTTATGAAAGAAATAGTCACACGTGTACTCTTTGCTGTCAAAAATGACTGCATTGGAAATGAATAGGAAGCGAATTTCATCTGATGGAAACATTTGGTACTGCGCCAAACAAAATCTTACTGAAAGAGAAAGAAAAGAAAATCTTACTGAAAGAATTTTTTTGTGATGCCAACTTCAAATTTGGAACATAACTTGTTTGGATTTATGGCTTTGATTTTCTCATTTTAGAGTGAAACCTGTTATGTAAAATATATTTCATATAAAATATGAAAATATACTTTTTTAATGCATTTTTTACAACAATAAACTTCTACAACTTTTAATTTAACTTTTTAAAACTTTTTTTTTTTAAATAAAGCAATAATCTGCCTAGTGTTTTCTTTCTTTCTTTCTTTTTTTTCTTTCTTTTCTTTCTTTCTTTCTTTCTTTCTTTCTTTCTTTCTTTCTTTCTTTCTTTCTTTAAATAGACCAAACTTAAGTCTGTTCTCCAAAGCATTTAAGATTTATGACAGTTCAAGTTGGCAATTTCATTTTCATTCAATGGATTAATGCACAAATATAATTTAGTACCATAATATCCCCTAAAAATTCACAATATTAAATAAAAAACATTATCAAACTAAAATATAGTGCATTCATTTAATTGAAATAAGAAAAATATAATTCATTTTTGGCCGCCACACAAGGAGCACTGGAGGGTTTAGAGAATGGAATAGATTAGTATATTGATGTATATATAAATGTAATTCTGATGTGTCTTTTGGCATTGAAAGATGACTTTTGTGAGCTGGCAAACATGCAGTCGCTGGACTGGCCTCACAGTGTGCTGCCAAAGCATCAAGTTTGACATGTTTCAGGTGCTCTGAAATGATACAGTAGCACAAAAGCAGGTTACACATGAAGAACTGAATGAGAACAGCACATTGTGTTTGTACATGACCAGATCATTTATGTGTCATGTTTTACTTCAGTAAGTATGTTTTAACTCGGTGATGCATGCACTAAATGATCATGTGTTATATGCCACTATGAGTTTTTAAAGTTGAGGCTTGTCTCTGATTGAGACATTTGTTCTACATTTTATATAAGATCAAATCAATTTATTTGATGAAGAATTAAATTATATAATGTTATCCAGGGTTATTGGTTGTTTTCACAACTGAAAATAATAAATAAAAATAAATATTTAATCAGTTAATAATACAATAGGTTTAACATGATATGACTTGCCGGGCATGTCACATTTTATATATTTATTTATTTTTTACGAAGAATTGCAAAAATAGGCATTTAAAACTTAGAATTAAAGACTGATTTGTTTTGTTCATGGTTTTCCCCCCATGTAAACTAATGAAAAATCAATTCAAAGTGTCTGAAAACTTAAGTGTAATGGGTGCACTTACTCAATGTATATACCATAATAATCTATGATTACCATATTCATATAGTATGGTATTTACATGGTGCAACAGGGTACCAGAGTACCTTTCTGGTAGTGTATTGTTAGTAAAGAGTTACGTCATAAGATAAAAATCCTATTATAACACTGGTAATTGTTTTATGATGTAGCATCATGTAGTATAACATAGTTTAATTCATGCCAATTACATGATACAAAATCAAGTAATAGCATATCACATACATTTGAATGATGAGTGTATCACAGTGCTAATTTCTTTTATTGATGTTATATTAAAGGATTAGTTCACCCCCCCACCCCCCAAAAAAAACAAGAAAATTTGCTGAAAATGTACTTACCTACATGCCATCCGAAATGTAGATGAGTTTGTCTCTTCATCAGATTTGGAGAAATGTAGCATTGCATCAGTGTGTCAGCAATGGATGCTCTGCAGTGAATGGGTGCCGTCAGAATGAGAGTCCAAACAGCTGATAAAAACATCACAATAATCCACAAGTAATCCACACCACTCCAGACCATCAGTTAACGACTTGAGAAGTGAAAAACTGTGTTTGTAAGAAAGAAATTCATCATTTAAGTGTTTTACTTTAGGGCCATAATCCTTAACACCGCTTCCTCCAGTGAAGAAGTGCATCTCCTGTTGTCTCTCTCATCAAAATCCACCACATGTTTGTTCAGATCTGTTTTGGCTTGTAAACGGTGCTTGATCTGTGCAGGTTTCTCTCCTGATTCAGACCAGATGGACTTTTTCCACTGGAGAAAACAACATTTGAAGTTACAAATGTCTTGATAGAGTTGCTTATTACAAACACACAGCTTTTCTTACTTGTGGATTATTGTGATGTTTTTATCAGCTGTTTGGAC